ATTTAAATAATACTAAATGAATATATTACCTCAAAATCATAAAAGATAATCTCAAGAACATTTCGGTAATTGTGTACGTCTTCAACTCGTTGGAACATCCTAATTATGCGTAGCTTGATTGGTGGCTTATTGGATCTTTTGATATCCTTGATTACTCCAAAATCCGAAGCCATTTTCAATGGTGATGTAAAAGCTTGTAGAAAAAATTGTTTTGTGGGATATATTGGATGTCGAATACTTTTTGTTCAACGTTGGTGATGTTTATATAGTCATGTGTATGTGCCATATGTCTAGGAAATAAAAAATATTTACGTAAGGTATTTAATATGATCCGATCCGATTCACTTGTGGAACGTGATTCACTTGTGAGGGACGAACGAATATTTGGAAGATTATGTAGCCAAAAATAATGGAGTTTGTTACAATGAAATTTGGTAAGACTTTTTGGATAGATTGAAAAATAATATTTTTATTTTGATCTATTTATTTGGACAAATCCAAAACTTTAATTTACAAAATTATAATCTTTAATTTTTTGAAACGTGTAAAATTTTCTAAGATAACTTCTATAAAACAAAATGTGATCAAATCATAATTGATTTTTATGCCTCAATATTCCAAATCAAACCTTACAAATATGGTATGATTATTTACTATTAATATTTTATTTTTTCAAACGTCTGATTCTCTTAGGTTTATATGAAACAAAGTTCAATCAAATCAAAATTGATTTTTATGCCCACACTAAAACTTTATCAATATGATATGTTTATTTTATTTATTTATTTATTTTCAAATCCACGACTCAAATTTTCGGGAGAGAGAAAAAAAAGGAAACAAAATCTTATCAAACCTTATCAAATTTTCGAGAGAGGAAAAAAAACAAAAAAAATAGGAAACAAAATCTTATCAAACCTTATCAATAATGAAGATTCGTGTTTCCACGAAAAGCTAACAAAATCCCGTGGTTACCAAAATCCTATCAAATTAGTTAAGAAAATCTCATTAAATTGGTTAACAATATTGGAACGCATTTTGTTAGGAAAGATTTACGTAATTTATCTATCTAATTAATATCATATTAACGTGTGGGCCCAGTGATATTAATTTAGTATAGCATCCATTATCTCAGAATAATTATTTGTTTGATTTACAACATTAATTTGAATGGAAAAAAATTCGTAATTATTGAGATATCTCAATTCAAAATCTCAATTTTTTAGCATAAGAATTTTCAAATTTGTTACCAATAAAAATAGATTCCTATGGGATTAATATTTAAATGTATTAAATTTTGGTATAAGAATCTCCAAATTTGTTACTATAAGAATCTTCAATTTGTTACCATAAGAAACCCATAAAAATCTCCTATGGATTGGAGTTTATCCATATTTAGTATAGCATCCATCATTCTTGGAATAATTTTTTGTTAGATTTACATCATGAATTTGAAGGGGAAAAAATCCGAAATTGTTAGGATATCTCAATTTAAAATCTCAATTTTTTGGCATAAGAATCTCAATTTGTTACCATAAGAATCCCATAGAAATCTCTTATGGGATTGGAGTTTATCAATAGTTGGTATAACATCCATTATTTTTGAAATAAATTTTTGTTTGATTTACAACATTAATTTGAATAGGAAAAAAATCCGTAATTGTTGGAATATCTAAATTCAAAATCTCAATTTTTTGGCATAACAATCTTTAAATTTGTTACCAATAAAAGTAGATTCCTATGAATTAATATTTAAAATGAATTAGATTTTGGTATAGGAATCTCCAAATTTGTTACCATAAAAATCTCAAATTTTTTTGGGATATCTCAATTAAATTTGTTACCATTAAAATCTCCAAATTTGTTACCATAAAAATCTCAATTTTTTTGGTACATGTGTTTTCTTCGAAATGTCCATTAATAGTAAGTCAAACTATTTATTTTTTTAGTCAAACTTACTATTACTATAGATTATTATTATTATTATTATTATTATTATTATTATTCCTGATAATGATCTTTATTTTTATTTATATTCTTTTTTCTTTCTCCCTTCATTTGAATAAGAGAATAAATATATAAAATGAATTTATTAAAAATATTATAATATATATATAACACAACATGCAATTTAAAACAGAGTACGTACCAATATAATTTTGTGTTGTGTGCTTAATTTAAATATATGAAATGTCATTTTTATTTATATTACTTTTAAAGCAATATATGAAATATCATTATTTTGTTTATATTATTTTTACAGAATTAAATTTTCAGTATGGAAATGCACAAAACTAATGAAAAGATATTTGTTGTGTACTCCTTGAAAGACCAACAACATAGAATAGAGTGTGCTTGATAAATTATTAAATTTAACTGAAAACTTAGTTGATAAATCTATCTCAAAACTTCATTGGCTCATTCTAGCATGTGGTACACCTTGTACTTGCAAATGTTGGCATGTGTCATTTAATATAATTAAATGAAAAAAAAAAGTGCACTTTATTTAATTAATAAAATGTCTTTACTTTAATTCTTTAAGAAAAATACCTTATAAATATATTTTATTTAAAAAGTGTTAAATTATTCGTATATTACGTAAAAAAAAATAAAAAAAAATCCATAAAAGATGGAACTTTAAATTAAAGATTCATATGAAACTCAAAACATCATATTGATTATTAAGAGGTATTATTGCACATGAAAGTGGTACAAAATGATAGTTCACCCATCAAACTTAGATAACCAAGTCATAAAAAATCGTCGGTTGAATTCTTCCGCCACGCGCTGTTGAAAATCTGGTAACTTCACCGGCGTTTTTCTGACTATTGGTAGGTCGGATCGATTATAGGAACATACCGTTGTATTTTCTAAAATAGCTTTCTACACATGTATAATTCACGAAAATTCAATGGTTCGATCTTGGGTGGCATTCCAATAAAATTTAATGCACAATTCTTTTCTTTTAATTTTTTATTTATGCATTAACAATTATTGAACAAAGTTTGAAGTATTGCATGATGAATTTTGACATGCCGCAGAAAGGTGGAGTCGAGAATTTCGAAATGATATATGATTTGTTAAAAATCATCAAGTAGGAGGACGACGAACGACAGTTAACGTAGTGGCTACCAGTAACGAAATTGTTAGATCTTCAATTCTTACACGTGTAATGAGAGAAAAGGAACGAAGTGGAGGTTTGACTGAACCGCCCTTCTTTTTGGACAGAATAGCGGGAACAAAAAGGCCATAGGGAGGTTCCTTCTTATAGCGCCAATTTGTTGATGGTTTGTTTTGCCAACAATATACACAACAATAATATGGTATTTAGAGGGTATGAATCGTGTTTAAATGAGGTGTTAAAGTAAATAAGAACAAGACAATCGACGAATTTGGAGTTTGCATTGATACGCTTGCACATGATTATTGAGTGATTTGGGTCGCTTTTGGACCTCTTATAACATTTGTCTATCGAAGGCTATTGAACTGTTCCATCCTCTAGAAGGAAAGCGACATATTTTCTAACCTATCTTTTGATCTAATTTCTTATGATTTTTCATATGATTCTCGATGATTTCCCAATCCCTGTGGCATAGCTATTTATAGGAGAGGATATAATAAACAATATTATTGCTGGGACACGTGTCAGACTCTCGAGGGTCTGCTACGTGCAAGGCACCGCATGTTATAAAAACTTGCTCAAATGGCCAAATTTTTAGGCGGTATGAAACGGTTCTGGACGACAATGGTGACGTTGATTTGATGTGTCTATGACCCAGAGTGAGATCGACATAGAGATGAGATCGTTATAGAGAATAGCACATGCTTTCTTTGGACGTTTTTTAAGCCAATGTAAATCCTTTGCCCACGTCATCATTGTTTAGTGAGCTTAATCCAACGTCATCACTGTTTAGTGAGCTTAATCCAAATCGGCGCAGTTTAAGTATAACACTTCATAAATTTAATTTATAGTTTATTCAGTTAGTTTAGAATTTATTGCATTCAATTAAGTTTGATTTGATAGAATAAAGTTTTGTAAAATTGTCAATTAAGATTGGTTTGACATAATGAAAATTTTCTAACTCTTTCACCTTTATTTCCAAAGGAGATAATTTTCTAAATAATTCTATTACCAACACAACTACAAGTTCCAAGTTCGACGAAGCTTTGGCTTTTCATGTAATTTAGCCCAAAGAGGGGCCTTTGGGCAACATATACCTAGGCCTCTTTTACTAGAAGTGATGGGATTAGATAAATTAATCCCTTTAATTTGTCACGTCATATTTTGTCTCATATTTACTAAACTCCATCATCTATTTACTATACCTGATAAAAAATTATGTGTTGTAATTGGGCGGTCGGGGATCTTTTTCGGCGCGGCCGGGGCGGAGTTGCCGGACGAGGATACGGCCGCCACCGAGGAGGGTTTCGCCAACTGACCCACGCAGCGTGACAACGTACGCAAATCGAAGGGCGATTATCAACACACAGAAGAGGAAGAGGCGCACATGGATATTCCGCAGGAAGCTTGGCTTTCCACCACCGGGCTCCATTAACGGGGGCGGAAAAAGAAACAAAATATCAAGGTATGAACAAAATCATAAGAATTAAAGAATTGATTTTTTTTTCCAATGGGNTTCAACTGACGCGGGACCCACTGCCACACAATGAACACATCAAAAATATCTTAACCCCTAACCAACCTAGTATACATATGATAAGGTTGGTTATCATATCCTATCAAGGCTAGTAAACGAGGCCCTAGAGAATAATGAACAGATAACAAAGATACGGGGAACAAAAAATTGTTGCAAGAGAATTGTACTCCAATATATGTTAAGAGGTGTAAATTACATTAACCAGCTCACAAATGTTCTCAAGCTGGACAATCAGAATAGAAAAACTTTAAATAAAACTGTAAAAAGAGAGAAAAAAAAAAAACTACTATTAAGACTGTACAAATTGCTACACACATTCCTATTAAAATCCCAGTAAATGGTAAATTCTACACTAAATTCTACCTGATGATGGCCATGGGGATTTCACTCGAACCTAATTTAGCCTAATTTCCTTTTTCTCTTTTTCCATGAAGATCACCAGGCATGAAGAAAAAAATAGTTTTAACAAAATCCAAAATTTAAATTTTTTTCTCAATAGTTTCAATGTACTTTGGCAAGTGACCGTGTGGAAACACCATGCAGTAACTTAACAAATCCGAGAAAACTAAGCTTTCCATCTGTGTGCCTAATCCAGTCATGGAGAACTGCATGAACTGGAACAGAAGGGCTAAGCCCAAGCTCCTGCATGAATGAGAGAGAGAGAGAGAGAGAGGTTAGGCTATGTCTCAATAAACTAGCCTTTTTTCTGCAACACACAATATGTTCATATACGTATTGTATTAAAAAGGAAATTATTAAAACAATAAAATTAAAGTAATAAATAATATATAGTTTCTACCGAAGCTAATTCCTCGATCATGATAGTTCGGTTGCCTTCTTTATCGAAAAGCTCATAGGCACAACGAGCATGTTGCTCCCATCTATCGAGAGCTTCCAACTGGTAAACACTTAATGCAGCCGCACAGAATTCTTCGAAATCCATTCTTCTGTATTGAAGGGCACTAAGCTGTAACAGGAATTCAAAAGAAAAAAATATATAAAAAAAAAAAAAAAAAAAAAAAAAAAAAAAAAAAAAAAAAAAAAA